AATCCATTGATTTTAAATTCAACTGATTAGCAATACTTAATTCCATGTACAACCTAATTCCTCTTTGCCAAGTAACCCCACATAGTCACAGGTTCTGGGAATTAGTAGGCAAATATCTTTGGGGGGAGAAGGGTGGGCATTATTCTGCCTACCATAATCTCTAAGGAAGAGCACCTGTGAATCACATACTATTACTCTCTGGATGTAAATAATATGCTGCAACTCACACATACCTTATTCATTCTCTTCCAACAATTCAAAAACAGTGAAGTTCTTTCAGCAACTTTAGCGAAAGTGTTTATAATTGGTTTAACAAGAGCAGAAAGAGAAAATGTTCTGACAGTACGAGTTATGTGACCAAGATCATTCCTGTTTATACCAGACAGTGGAATTCTATTTTCTCTGATATCGGGGTTCCTTTGGCTACAGGAAAAATAAGGTATCAAAATTAATACCCATGTCAACAAGCCCTATATGGCTGTCTTCACACACCCCGTAACCTACCATACAATTTTGTCCTTTTTGCATCTAGAACTTGTGTATCGCCAAAGAGAAAAATATCTGTTGTGTTAGCAATAAGTAAGAGTGATGACTTAGAAAGTGAAGCACTGTGTGGTTGGGATCTGAAAGCACAGAAGCTGTGGGATGAATTTTTTTCTTAATAAACTCGTCTGAACAGAATATTTGTGATTTCAAGCCTAAATATCACTACACATAAAAATAGTTGATTGCAAAAAAAAAAGAAAAATAAAAAATAAATTCTCGGTTGCTTAACTTTATTAGAAAAATTAAAATTATATGGAATGTCATTCCACGAGAACATTTTATAAAACTATTGTTAAAGTTTTATATAAGTACATTGTCTAGATCAAGAGATGTAGAATAAAGGGGTCTGGAGCCAAAGCAGGTAACAGAAATAAGTGGATGAGGCCAATGGGCACTGGGTGTACTCGCACCTTTGTCGTCCAATCTGAAAAGGTCAGCCACCATTCAGCTCTAAGAGCTGATTTTTGGTTCATAAGATTGTCTGACATTCTTAAAATTGAGAAAAAATATTATTTTTATGTGGGAACATTCATATTTTCAAGGCTGGCAACTTAACAATATGCTGCAATCTCTTGATAGAGCAATAAAACCCAGCCATGGACCAAATTTAGCTAATCACCGAGGAGTTTGCATTTCTGAAACTAGATCAGCCAATCCAATAACCACCTGGTATTTTACTTGATAAAATTAAGATTTGTATAACTTATTATCTAACTGGATGCAACCATCAAAACCTGGAAGAAAAATTGTGTACACAGATGAGGTAAAGAGACTTAGCATGCACCTAAGGGGTTCTTTGTTCCTTACTGGGAATCGATTAATGCCTTATGTTTCGTTATAGCCCTAGGGCATAGTGTAGTATCTGTCACATGACAGGTTTTAAGTAAATATTTGTTTAATTAATGAATAACTGAACTTTGGGGGCACCTAAGTGGCTTGGTGGGTTAAGCCTCTGCCTTCGGCTCAGGTCACGATCTCAGGATCCTGGGATCAAGCCCCACATTGGGCTTTCTGCTCAGCAGGGAGCCTACTTCCCCCCTCTCTCTGCCTGTCTCTCTGCCTACTTGTGATCTCTCTTTGTGTCAAATAAATAAATAAAATAGTTTTTAAAAAATGAATAACTGAACTTTTAAATTTTGATTACTCTGAGGATTATACTCATACTTGTTAACATAAAGAATTAGTAACCTAACCTCAAAATATGAGGTTGGCTTAGAAAGCAAGAACACTTGGGGTGCCTGGGTGTCTCAGTTGGTTATTGGACTCTTGATTTCAACTCAGGTCATGATCTTGGGGTCATGAGATTAAGCCCCATGTTGTGTTCTATGATCAGCATGGAGCCTGCTTAGGATTCCCTCTCTCCCTCTCCCTCTGCCCTTTCCCCCACCTTACGTGTGTGCACATACACATGCATGATCTCTCCAAAAAAAAGAAAGAAAAGTAAGAACCCTTAATATTTTCCATATTATCAAAAGAAATATATTCTAACAATTGTTATGTTGTACTGACCAATAAGGTCTTTTTATTTTTCAGTGTTCCAAGATTCATTGTTTATGCACCACACCCAGTGCTCCATGCAATACGTGTCCTCCTTAATACCCACCATCAGGCTCACCTAACCCCCCACCGCCCTCCCCTCTAAAACCCTCAGTTTGTTCCTCAGAGTCCACAGTCTCTCATGGTTTGTCTCCCCCTCCAATTTCCCCCAATTCACTTTTCCTTTCCTTCTCCTAATGTCCTTCCTGTTATTCCTTATGCTTCACAAGTGAAATCATATGATAATTGACTCTCTCTGCTTGACTTATTTCACTCAGCATAATCTCTTCCAGTCCCATCCAGGTTGATACAAAAGTTGGGTATTCATTCTTTCTGATGGAGGCATAATATTCCATTGTATATATGGACCATATCTTCTTTATCCATTTGTCTGTTGAGGACATCTTGGCTCTTTCCACAGTTTAGTGATTGTGGCCATTGCTGCTATGAACTTTGGGGTACATATGACCCTTGTTTTCACTACATCTGTATCTTTGGGGTAAATCCCCAGAAGTGCAATTGCAGGGTCATAAGGTAGCTCTATTTTTAATTTCTTAAGGAATCTCCACATTGTTTTCCAAAGCGGCTTCACCAACTTGCATACCCACCAACAGTGTAAGAGGGTTCCCCTTTCTCCACATCCTTTCCAACACTTGTTGTTTACTCTCTTGTTAATTTTGGCCATTCTAACTGGTGTAAGGTGGTATCTCAATGTGGTTTTGATTTGAATCTCCCTGATGGCTAATGATGAGGAACATTTTTTCATGTGTCTGTTATCCACTTATATGTCTTTGGAGAAGTGTCTGTTCATGTCTTCTGCCCATTTTTTTTTTTATGTGATTATCTGTTTTTTGAGTGTTGAGTTTGGGGAGTCCTTTATAGATCTTGGATATCAGCACTTTGTCTGTAGTGTAAGGTCTTTTATAACATAATGGAGAAAAGCCAGATTTTAACTCGAAACTGTAATGTAACAACAACCCAAACCAAGTATTTGTATGATAATTTTATTTTACAAAGTGCTTTCAATATGTGACTTCTCTTATCACTAGAACATTTCTCTAATGTAGACAGATATTATCTTCATTTTAAAGATAGAAAACTTGAACTACAAAGGAAGCTAAGTGATTTTATAAAGTCTTGCAGAAAATTAGCTATAGAACTGAACTTAATCTTTCCACCCATGCTCTTTCTTTCCTGGTAAGGAGACAGCCTGCAGTGTGACAATAAAGCATAGAATCAAATTAATTAAATTTGTACAATGGCACCTTCCTAAACAGGATGGGAAGGAAATTACTTCTGTGTGGCACAGAGGAGGAAGGCAAGAATGAGCATAGAAGGAAAGTATAATATTTTTCAAGATGGTGTGTAGACATCAGGGTACCTTATTCATCATGACACCAGTTGCATGTTGGTTAAATCATTCAGCACAATGAGATTGATCAGCTTGACCTCTCTTGTTTCACTTAGAAAGAGATTGCTCTGTAATATATTCATTTCATATATATATATATATCTATACATATATGTAGATATATAGATATATATATCTGTCTGCCCCACTAGAGTGGAAACATCATGAAGGTCAAAGGTTAAGAAATAATAAGAGTTCTTAAGCACTCTCTATGAGAAGAAACTAATTGAATATTTTCATTGGTTAATGAGAAACATATATATTGGTGATAGTGGAGCTAATGGTTAAGAACACAGGACTTGAAGTCAGTAGATCTGGGTCAGAAACCATGTTCCATCAAGGTCTAGCTGTGCAACTTTGGGCAAGTTACTCCACTTCTAGGAGTCACAACGCCATCTGTAAAGACGGTGACAGTGATAAAACAGAACCATAAGTCTGTAGTGAAAATTAAAGAAGTTAATGTTTGTAAGAAACCAGCAGGATTGTGGGTACCTGATACGCACTCAATAAATGTTTCAGTGCTACAACATACTGAAGTTTCAAATTCGGGAAAGTGCTACAGCTACATGCTGATCCCTGTAGTTTTGAAGAAGGAGCATTCGTTGGTTCTCAAAAGCAAAGTTAGATGCCGAGAGAAAATCTTTTAAAGTGACCCAAAATGTATTTTTAGAACAAACTTTTAATGTTAACATAATGGAGCAAAGCCAGATTCCACATGCGATTTGGAATATAATAATAGAACAAAGAAGAAAAAGGCACAGATGCAGTGTGCCTATCACTACAAATGATTACAGACAGAATCGGTTTGCAGACACAAGCTCACTGACAGAGAAAACCGGGTGGCATGTCAAGGTTTTCAGGAGCGAAGACCTGAGATTTGGCTGGTCACAGAGGAGACACTCAAAAGAAGGAATAGGTGCAATACTATCTTGATAATTTTCCTTGTTTCTAGAAATAAACATATTTCACAAATTTATTATCAAAGTCCAGCCTCCTTTTTTTTTCCAGTGTGTACTTGTGCTTAGCTCTTTCATCGTTCAAGGTATGTTTTCAGATGCTAATTGCTCCTCTGCACAGGCAAAAGGAATGAAATTGTATAAGTACATTAAAATGAGGAAAAGAGAATGTTGATTTCTTAAAAGGGAAATGACACATATGGAATGATCTCCATCATACTTAGAGTGATATTTTTATGAGAAAACTAGAGCCACGTAATCGAAATGGTTTTCTACCCAAAAATAGCAGGAAAAAATGAACAATCACAGAGCACGTACCACACCAACAATTTAGAAGAGAATTTAATGCCAAAATAAGGTAATGAACTGCTCCACTGACGCCTCTCCTTCTGGGTCTTTACTATTTATAGAATCCAATCATGCAACCTGAAAACTTCTGGGAAGTGACACTTTGAACCCTCGATTTTCAGTTCGGCGGCTCACGCAGAGGAATGCCAACCAGACTCTAACACAACCAGAAGAATCCGCTCTTGGAAGTCGCGGGTGTTGACTCAGAGAACGTCCTCTGTTTCTCCTCTGCTTCCTTCCGGGTCTGGGTTACATTCCAGTGGCCGGGGGGACTCCGCCATTGGAATCTCCTCTCGCAGCCTCACGCTCCCTTCCTGGGTCTCCTCACGGATCAGGTGTGGCTGGCAGTCCTGCTCCGAGCTACTCCACACGTAGCCGGGTAAAGTCACGTGGCTGTCGGGCTGGCGGCCGGCTGTCCTGGGGGTTTTGCCGGAGATGAGCACCAGGCGAGTGCTGGCCGCCCCCTGCGACTGGCTGCTGGTGCTGTGGGTCAACGTGGTGAGCACGGAGCCGTACCTGTGGCCGCCGCAGGGGGGCGTCCTTTTCCAGTCGGTGGAGAGGTTCCACCGACTCCACAACTTCTTCACCTCAGACTGAACCTAAGTCGCAGGAAACAACGGTGCGTCAGAAACCATCAGGGAGACCTGGAGCCCTGTGACTTGGACGTTTGCGCGTCAGGGATGGTTATCACTGAGTTTCCACCATGGGTGCCAGCGACTTGATGTACATAGTCTCTCTCAACTTCGAAAAACCTCGGAGGTAGGTACGCTACCAGAGATGAGCAAGCGGAGGCTTTGAGAAAGGTGAAGGGACTTACCGCAGATCACTATTTTAATAGAATTTCAAATGCAGCCCATAGAAACATCTGACGTGGGGAGCCTGGGTGGCTCGGGCAGTTAAGCGTCAGACTCTTGATTTCATTTCAGGTCATGATCTCAGGGTCCTGGGATAGAGCCCCTTGGCCTGGGGGCTCAGCGGGGGCGGGGGGGGGGGGGCCTGTTCAGGGATTCTCTCCTTCTCCCTCTGCCCCTACCCCCACCCTACTTGATATTGATCTCTCTCTCAAATATATAAATCTTTTTTTAAAAAAGAAAGAGAAAGAAAGAAACATCTGACTTGTGGGAGAGGGAAAAGAGGCTTATGCCTTGGAAGAGAAGGAAAGATAAATAGTGCCAGCTGTGGCTGAAGAATGGCATGGAATTTACTCAACCTGAAATGTAATACTATCACTTTTGCATAAGCATACTGAAGGAGGAAAATACGGGGAAGAAACTTATACCATGAAAAGCAAGCATGCAAATGCATTATTAATGGGGTGGGGCTCTTGCTTCCAACCTGTGGTTGAAGATTCTATTCTACTGCTATTGCCATTTACCAAAAAGGAGCTTATCTGGGAGTTCTGTGGAAAACAGTAGAAATCTGGTTAGCTGGTGTCACCTGAAAGCACAGTAGGGCTACTTCTCCCCAGCCAACCCCTAAATGAACTGAAAGCGTCCCGTCGCCATTGTATAGTCTTAAATATATCAAAATATTCTTTCTTGTCTCAAGAAAACTTATGTTGTTTCTTATAGAACTTGAAATTAAATATCAGTTTAAGTATTGACTGGAATACAAAATTCACTGTCCTTCCAAGTATCAGTTTACACTCTAACAAGTTGGTATTTTGCTATCAGAGTTTCCAACTGAATTGACATTGAAAAGTGCTACGAGAGAAAGACTCTAGCTTATTTACATTAATTCTTGCTTTCCTCAAAATCATTTATGATTGAAATATCTCCTTTCTCCCTACTCATTTTTTCCTGTAGTTCCTGGGAATCCTAAAGAGATTAGGTCACACCGTGATGGCCATTTACAAGCTTACTTGGAGCTAGAGCTGTGGGATATGGGACGGGGGTGGGGGGTCCTTCAAACCTACCTCTCCATTGCAGTAGCAGTAGATGATAGACACAAAGAATCCCTGGGGAACAGAAGAGAAGGTTAGCATGCTGACAACTCATGAAGTTCACAGCACTCAGGCACCTTGGATCATAATACATACATTGAAAAACTGGGTTGTGTTTTGCTTCCTTCAGGAAATTTTATGAACTATTCTCTCCTAGTGTTTCCAAATCTTTAAGTTTACATTATATTTGTCTGAGATCCTTCCTTGGCGTCAGCTGAACCAAACAAAGTAATGGGATAAAACACTCTAAGACACACAAATAACTGATTTCTTGTTGGAGGCCACGGCACGGTTGGAGTGGAGGACCAAACCAGGCCCTGACTTGTGTCTCCTTTAAAGTCCAGACGCCTTGACAAGGTTAAGGACGGGAAAGTTGAGTAACACTGAGAAAGGGTCTGTGCTATGTGTCGTGTGCTCGCCTACGTGACTTCCCACACGCTCTCCCTACAGAAGGGAACAATGTGGTCAGGATCATGAATTCTTAGTTGGTCCTTGTTATTCCTATACTTCCCATAACCCACTCCCTGGTTGATTGTCTTGCATCAATAGTAGCTAATGGCATTAGCCGTGACTACCTGGCATCACGAGGTTTGCTTGTAGTTAATGTAAACTTGTTATAGGAACTTGCGGTCATCTGACTAGGTACTGATGTATTACTCCTCCCATTGTGGTCTGCCTTATAAATGCTTGTAAGATGTGGAATAAAATCGGCACTGTTGGACATCCTCCTCAGTGCTCCTCCTGCCCCCGTCTCTTTGTTTCTTAATTTCTTTTCACCATCCTCTTACCTTCACATTCCTGGTCGATTTGTCACACTGGCCGTGACAATTTCTATTATATTAGCTTCATTTATGCTGTCACTCAAGGATTACAGAATATCCCCTGGTTGGTAAGAGATATTTATACACTGCGAATGCTGGAACTATGGACACAGGCTATTATATGGTAAAAAGACAAAGAAACTTTTTGTTTTCTCGTTCAAAAATATTTATTGAGCTTCTACAGGGCAAACTGCTCAGCATGCCAGGAATAAACAAGTCAATCAAGACAAAGAAGGTCCCTGTTCCCTTAGAGCTACATTCTAAAAGGAAATATGGATGATGGATAAAATATAAACGACTTGCCACACTAGAAAAATGTAAAATAATAAGAGCTATGCAGGCCAAACAAGCGGCGTGAAAGAGAATGGAAAAGATACAATGAATGGGGAACTCAATGAAGACCGAGTTGAAGAGATGGCATTTAAACTGGTTTGAGTGACAAGAAAAAGGCTTGTGAATATTAGCAGGGAGCACCTTCCAGAGAGAGCGAACAGTAACTCTGAGACAGGAATGAGCTCAAGGAACAGAAAGTGTGGAAGTGCTAGTGGGGCTCAAACTTAGCAGGTGACTGGGAACATGACGGCATGCAACGTCACAGTTGGACAGGGTCCCTGTCACAGAGGGCTGTGCCCGGCAACAAATGGCATTTGGATCTTATTCTGAGTGCAGTGGGAAATCTCTGGGTACTTCTGGTAGATAACAGACATGATCAAATTTACTTTTAAGATCCTTCAGACCCTTGTATGGAGACTAGATTAAAGGCAGCCGTGGGAGGCAGCAAGTGAGTAGCCAGGAGGAGAAGAATGGTGTCCACAGAAAGCCATGTGAGAGATTATGGTAATCATATTTTCAAATGAGATAAAAGGGAAAGAAGCTACTTTTTCCTTTTCTCCCCCTCTTCCTGTCTGCTTTTTCTTTGGCTTTCATTTATTTTCCATACACACATGCTAGTCTGTTCACATTACATATTCTACAACAATATGCTTTCTTGTCTCATTGCCCAGGCGTATTTGTGAGAAGCAGCTCCTGCTCTGGTCAGAGGTTAAAAGCACAGACTCCAGAGAATAATGCCTTTTCATGGCCCTGTGGGGACATGAAAGCCTAACAGAGGGGCAGAGAACAAAGTTGCAAGCAGGGAATAAAAGCAAAATGCAAGAACCACATTACTAGCTGCCCTCTCTACCTGAAAGGAGTTGAAGAAGAGCTCACAGTGCATCCGGACCTCCCAGCCCAGCCCCGTGAAGGAGTGCGGCAGGCACAGGAACACGATGTAGTGCACTCCAAAGACCAGCACAAGGACCAGGGTTGATTTGGCGAGTTTCCTGAAAGAGAATACCAAGCCCTTATATTCATCAACTTCCAGTGCCCGTCAGTAGAGACAGCTTGCTGGGAAAAAAGCAAAGCTTACCAGAGGTAAGGGGGGCTGCATTTTTTCCATCTCTTTTGACCCCATGGCTTCTGCTAGCCTTTATTACCCTCCCTCCTCTTCCTGCCCTTTTATACTAAATCAAGTCACTTATTCTCATTTCCCAAGATTATTATCCCTTAAATCTTTCTAATCCCATTTCCACTCCTCTGGCATAGGATGCTATTTTCATAAAGCCATGAAAAGCCCCTTTTCTCTGCCCTAAATTTATTTTAACATCTATGTTTGAGATACCGCCATCCTTGTTAACTGTCTTTACTTTCATAGAGTACATTTCTTCATTTTAAAATTAACTACACCCTAAGTTCTTCTTACATTTGGATCTGCATTAATCATTTCGTATTTTCTTATAAGCTGCATGTGGTCAGTAGTTCCTACTTTTCTAAATATCCTCTGTCAAATATCCTACAGAATATCTACAGTTCTAGGTTTTGTACTCTTTTTTTTTTTTTGCAAACTAAGCAATGTGACTTTATTTCCCATAACTACCTCTTCATATACATTTTCTTGTGTAACTGGAGGAACCCCAGGTTTCCAAGATGTTGGTTGATTCTAAAATGGCCCCCAATGATCCCTACCTGGTATTTACATTCTTGTTAGTCCTCTCCCCTTGAGTGTGGGCAAAGACCATGAACTTGCTTCTAACTGATCAATTACAGCCAAAATGATGAGCTGTCACTTCAGTGATTACATTTCATAAGAGTATAACTTTCATTTTGCTAGTAAAAAAAGAGAGTTTACTAGCAAACTCTCTCCTTTGTTTGGTTCAAGGACACAAGTAACCATGTTGTGAGTTACTCTACTGAATGGGAGAGATGGCAAGGAGAGGTGGCATCAACTAACAGCCCGCAAGAAACTGAATCCTGTCAACAATATACTTGGCAATGGATTCTTGGAAGTGGATTCTTCCCCAGTCTTAGGATAAGACTGCAGTCCTGACAGCCATATCAGCTGAGTCTTGCAAGAGATTCTGAAGCAGGAGACCCAGCCAAACCATGTCCAGACTCCTGACCTAAAGAAACAGTCAAATAGCAAGTGTGTTGGTAAGCCACAGATATTTGCAGCAATCCATTTGCACAGCAGATAGCTGATACACCCAAGCACATCATGTGTTTCTGTTGTACTTTTTATTCAAGAAATAGCCAAATCTGGTTGATTCTTTATTTCTCAAATATTCCCTTCTTTACAAATCATTTATACCTCAGTAATCTCAAACAACTGCAACCTTCTCCCTGTCTCACTAGTCTTACCGCCAGCTACTTTTCTTCCTTCTTTCCTGCCTCTCTTCCCTCCTTCCTTCCTTATGTACTTACTTATAAACTTACTTAGTTCTCTTCTTGGAAATAACCTGTATGAGTGAAGCTAAACAGAACTGGATTCAGGTTCCAGATTTGCCATTAACTTCTTGAGTAACTGTAATTCAGCTTTCTTTTCTCTAAAATGAGGGAACAGGGCCCAGAAGTTTATAAGAGCTCTCACAGTCTAACGCTTTCGTAGGGAGGATCATCTTCCAGACACATCCATTTTCCTACTATAACCATCTTTCTGGCTCCTGCAGGAGCTGGGTATCCCACAGAATTGTACTAAAATGCCTAAATTAGTCATTTGGAGTTGCACACCTGCCCCATCTCATTCTCCTCTGCCTCTTGTATCTCTCACTAGTGGCCAGGCCTTCTACTCTTCTTGGCTCAGAGCCATCTGCTCCGCCTCACACCCAGTTTCCCTGGTGGTCTAGGGGCTTTCTCCTATGCTGCTCTAGTCCCACACTTCCTACCTTGACTCACCTATAGTCTACTTAATTTGAAAATTCTACCCAAAGTCTGTTTCATTCAAGGCAGCATCTCTGATAAGACAATGGATTTCTCTTACCTAACTCATTCTCTCAACTTTCGGAGGCTCCTCCTAAACCTGTCTAGTGACTATCCTCTTCACATCACTGCATATATGAGCAAGACACTGTGAGTACCTTCATGATGTTGTAATTCACTCTAATCAGATAAAGGGGAACATACTTGCAGAATTTTAGAAGTCTTGGTTAACATCAATCTGAAAAAAACAAAAATAAACAAACAAAAAAACCCACCCTGCACTTCCTCCTTTAAGATGAATGGATAAATCCCCCTGGAGACTATTCTCAAAATCAAGCTAACTTTAATTGCTACTATTGTGTGTGTCTAGGAACCAAAAACTAGGTTAAAACAAAAAGAAAAAAAAAAAAAAAGCAAAGAAGAAAAGAAAAAAAAAAAGAAAAGAAGGGAGGGGACAGAGGGAGGGAGTGAAGAAGGAAGGAAGGGAGGAAGGAAGGAAGGGGGAGGGAGGGAGAAAGAAGTAAAACACATTGTGAAATGATCACAAATGTAAAAGTTTACGGAGAGTTTGGTTCAATGCAGAGTAAGAAAAAGCTGTCAGACTAAAATTTATTGGGAATCCTGCTAGCTCAGCCATCTGGGCTTTCTCTCTCCCTTTATCTGTGACTAGGCTCTTTTATAAAAGCTCTGTAGAGATAAAAGTGAACTTGTAGAAAACCAGATAGTAATTGAATTCATTTTCTATTGCTATGAAACAAATCACCACAAATTTAGTGGCTTAAACCAATATCTATTTAGTCTCTCTCGGTTTCTAAGAGGTCCCTCAGATCTTAACCACAGACCTTCACAACACGTCAGATTACTTCTTCAAAGCCTGCAAGACAATCTCTCTCCAGACTGCCAGTCACAGGAGTGACTACCCCATCACCTTTCCAATATAATGTAACCTAATCGAGGGAGAGATTATCCCATCATAGGTCTTGCTCAAGAAGGTGTGTGAAGGATGAGGATTATATAGGGCATGTACACCAGAGGTAGTAATTTTGGGGGGGGGTTCATCTTAGAAATCTGCCCTCCACAACAGTGCAAATAAGTTCTGTCCATAGAAATGCAATTTGTGTTCAATGCAATGCCACTAATTACAGCTCTGTGAATGTTAATAATTTGTTAATTGGCATCCATTTGTAAATTCATTTTAACATTTATAATTATCTGTTAAACATATGCAATGCCTTACCATTTCCTTCATTAATCAATGAAATAAAATCTTTGAGGCGTGTTCATTTATGATTACATCCTCTTTTAAAATTTATCCTTCAATGACAGTGAACAAGTTGAAGCAGTGGCATGTGCCTGGCCAATGTATACATGGGTCATCTCTCTGTCTGTTCACTTATAAGATGGATTTTTCCACCGACATCAAATCATGCAGCCATCCTGGGCACTGATTTGCTTGGTGTCCATCTGGCCACTCATGCACATTTTACATCTTTGCAGCCCGGCTCTCTAAAAAGGCACAGCTGTCTAATGAGATGATCAGGGTTGCACCAGCTGAAGTGGCCTTCTGGCTTGCTGGAGACATGGTTGTGGCTCTGCATCCAAGAGCAAAGCCATGGGAGGAATATAAAGGAATCAAATGGTGTGTAGGACTCAGCGTCCTACTTAGAAAACAGATACCCAATTCTTGCAATCTCTCTCTCCAGGTCAAAAGTGCTGGAAGTTTTCTACTTTTCTTTTAAGAGTCAACTTAGCTTTTTAAAAAAGTAGTATTTACCCTAAGCCTTTTTCAATCTCTCTTGAGCTTGAATCTTTCCTTTTTTTCTATACACATAACACTTTGGAAGTGCGTTTCTACTAGCACTGTTCTCACTTTAATTAAATCAATCTCTCTCTTTCTCTCTTTCTCAAATTTTTTTCACAGGCAGAAACCATGTCTTCTTAACTCTCAATCTCTTGCATGGCACAAGAAGGGTAGTCAGTCAATGAAGCTATTGGCTATCATGCTCCTGTCATTTCCTGTACCGGTTGCCTTCTTTTATTCTGCCAACCACGTGAGAGAGCCATTATTTTCTCATGTCCAGATAAGGATAGAGGCTCAGAAAAGGAAAGTATTCACCCAAAGTTAGACAATGAGTAGAGGATTCAATTTAAAATCTGTCCTCTTTACTATCATATTGCATAACAAACACTGATTGCATTTATTCCAAAAATAATAAATACAATTTTTGTCTAATATTGAATCGAAAGTCAAATTTGCCAAAATATTCAAGTGTTCTTTTCCACTGAATTTTGCATTTTTCATATCTCATGTTCTTCCAGTCCTGACAATCTTCTCTTAAGGAAATTGAGTTGTAATATAAAAAAGAATGAAATGCATTAGCCCTATTGTTAAATCTGATAGATTATTTAATTTTCTACACAATTTGAAAAATCCTTCTTGTTTTAAAATAACTAATGTGAACTACAGATACGTAGAATGTCACTTTTGAGAGAAACTGGGTAAAGGATATATGTTATATATTACATACATATATGTATATTATTTTTACAACTCTGTATTACTTGTATGTTTTATTTTACCTCTGTATTACTTTTATAACTGCATATAATTCTGCAGTTATCTCAAAATAAGCAGTTTTTTAAAAGCTGACTGTATTATTTCATTTCAGTTTTTTTGTTAAGATTTTATTTATTTATTGGAGAGAAAGAGAGCAAGAGACAGAAGGAATAGTGGGGAAGAGCAGAGGGAAAGGGAGAAACAGACTCCCTGCTGAGCTGGGAACCCAACAATAGGGCTCAATCCCAGGACACTGAGCTCATGACCTGAGTCAAAGGCGATTCATTTCAATTTTAAGCCACTATATCAATGAGGGGATACCTTGTCCTTTTCCAAAGTCTGTCTTTATGTGTGTGCACATACTCACCTATCTCAGCTTTGAAAGATGTTTTTAGTCTTTCAGAGAGGAATAAGCATGGAAATGTGTTTAAAAAATGTTTTAGATACCACCATTTGGAAATTTAAATATAATATACTATGTTTTTTCATTGTTAGCAAGAATATTTGGTATTTGAGCATTTGTTTGACAAATGTAATGACCAAATGAAATATAAGTTTAAAGGTACAAAAATAAGTGGATGTAAATTTAAATACTCAGTTAAACTTCAAAGATAGAATTTCACTGGGATAGAGACACAAATTACACTTTTCTAGGTCTCTTTATTTATAAAGTGAGAAGATATTTAAATCAGGTGATCTAAGACCTCAGAAGCAAAATACTGAATTCTCAAATCACTGCCAAGTAAGTAACCACATGTTTCTCTCCAAAATGAAAGATGAAGTCATTCCTCACCATCTTATCTGTAACTTTGAACATTATTAAGAATTTAAATAGGTTTCAGCTACTTAAAAATAAATGTATTTGGCTGGAAAATACTTTCCCTGACTACTATTAGCCTAGACCCTGTTCAAATTAATGGCTCCAAAATTTAAAAATTTCCAGGCCCCCAATTATTTAAAATTTATCCTGAATTCTAAATAGTAGATTATTTTAATCTTTGATAAATGTTTCTCTTCCCTTATTTTGAGAAATAATCTCCTATGAATGAACTCAAAGTATTGTCTATTCTATTTTTTACATTAATTCACCCTTTGTCCTCTCCAGAGTTTCTCAAATCTCTTGGGAAACTTTTAACTGAAAGTACAAGTTCACATCATTCAGAACTAGAGAAATAGGAGCTTTTATTCAGGGCTAGAAAAATAAACTTTCAGAAACCTTTGTACTGTTCCACTTTACGGAAAAGAATGGAAAGCTATTTACGTTTTCCATTATTCTATCATCCTTTGGCCTTTGTCTTCATCAATGGGATGTAACATGAGACATGCTATGAGTATAACAAAGGGCCATCACTGGAAACTCTCAGGCATAATTTATAATGCTACCGCTAACAGCACATTACAAATGGCTGGAGCCTACAGCTGCTGGTTTGTTCATACTCCGCAGCCTATTCCAGACTCCAGTCCACACCCAGCATCTTTTCTTCCTGACAGTGAATGTTGCCTAAACAGTAGAGGGAAATGACTCAACAAAGGGCTTTGAGAACATTTGTGACACAGGACCAAAATGCTGACTATGGTTTCTTCCTTTCTATGTCTCAGATAGCATTTCCTAACAAACCAAGACAAAAAGAAATAGATATTTATGAAGATCAATTCCACCAGAAGATCAAATCCACCAGACTACTGGATGTGTATATCCAGTTGGGTAGAGGCTGCTGTTATTCAGAACTCCCAAAATGATCATTGGAAAAAGTTGACACACCCTTAAGATAGTTCAATAATGATTATAGACACTCAATTTTCCCCTTTCTTCTTGAAAGACTGAAAAACAGACCTCACTCAATCAGTACATTTGAAAGTTCTTAAAGATTTACATTCAGTAGAGGCCAGTCTGATGAACCGATTGGAAACAATACAGCAAACTCAATTTCTTGATATTTTCAGTTATATTATTTTAAGAACACAGATAAAATTGTCTGCCAAGATCATCAACAAGAGATTTTCTAGGAAGTCACACAGTTTATGGGAAAATTCCAATATGCTAAGAACAAATTAAAATTTTATATTACTTAATACTTAAAATTTAAACACATTAGGAAGGTTTTGGGTTATTTAAATTTTCCTAAAATACATATACTCTCTTGATAAATTGCACAATTAAACCAAATGAAAATTAATATGCATAAATTTATCTCTCAGAGACATTTCAGATCAATCAATATCTGTTCTTTCTTCTAAATAGTAACACAAATATTTCCTCTGGTGCGTACCTGTCCTGCAATTACCTGTATTGTTTTCTTGTGTCATGCCCAACTGCATTGGTCTCCCAGATTTTGGTAGCCAGAACTCTAACAGTATTCAGAAACAGAATAAAATTGAGCTGAAAGAGAAGGTAATATTGAAAAGCATTATTAAGGGAGTCTCCAAGGTTTTTATAAAAATTTGTATAAATTAAACTTCTTTGTATTCAAAAATTGAAAATTACCTATTCCACAAATGTGAATGAGGTACCCTGAGATAAGATATCGGATGGTTAGTGATTCATGAGTTGCCCTCATGAAAACATAGAGATAAAAAGTCTCAATAGCACTGAATAGAAATACCAGAGGACGATCTGCAAGAACAAATGGGGAATTTCCAAACGAAAGTTCAGATAAAGTCTGTGGCAGACTGGCAGGATAAAGAATAATAGTTACTATGTAAATTTAACTAACTGCTCTTTTTGAAATTAATTTCCCAGCTTCTGTGTCTATTTTAGGGAGAGGAATAGCAGAGTTGTTTGGGGGATGGTGTCCCTCTTATAACAAATGAGAAGTACAGGGTGTTGCCTTAAAAGATCAGTTAATAAAATATACCCATGTACATACACACTGATAGCTCCTACACCAGTTGGGTAAAATTCCAAATAATTACTCTGAATAATTTAGGGAAGTAGAGAATAAAGGTGAATTAGGAACTAAGTTATCAACTACTTATTTACTATTCTAAGTGTATGAGGTAAATTGACTCTTAGTCATCACAACAGTTCCATGAGATAGGCACTTCATTGTCCCCATTTTGTGGGTAAAGAACCCGAGTAACAGCTTCCACAAATTATCCCTGATCACACAGCCAGCAAGCAGCAGCGCCCTGAAGCCGGTGCGACCTGGATAATGGAGAGTGGGGACTCCACCATAACATCATGCTGCCCATAAAACAGAGTTGAGTTATAGCAGATTGAGATGAAGACATAAATTTCTTAAAGAGCAGGATTGATTAAGAAAAGATTGTAAAGAATCTAAAATAAATCAAGTTTTAAAATCAATATCAGAAACAGCAAACAGTAGATCTAACAAAGCAGAAGAACACATTGAGCAATGTAGAAGACCACTGAAGACTCTTCCCAAATGGGGGGGATAAAGAACAAAGACCCGTATGATGAGGGGAGAGATGTTTACACGTATGACATGGAATTGAGAGTCATCGTACAGATTTATTTCTCTCTCTGTAGAAAAGATTATGATAAACTGAAGGAATCAATAAAAATATGAGAGGAAAATTCCTTTGCTAAAGGAAGATCTGAGTCTATAAATGACCTTACACACTGGGCAAATGGAATGAAAAAAACAAGACCAATTGGAAACTTCTGGTGAGATTGTTAAATTTCATTTTAAAAGGTGTAGAAATAACTCTAGAGAAAATTATTTAGAGAGTCCTTGTATCTCTCATGTGCACTTCCTCTAAAATTTTGCTTAAAGGTCTACTTCAGGCAAAGTACAGATAAAACAAAGAAATAGGAAACTGAGAAGGTGAATAAAATGACCACTCCCTAAGCATTAAAACTAGTCACACATTGAATAAATTTTATGCAAATATGGCTTTTAAATAATGCAAACATAAACATTAGATTCTTTCTCAATTAAAAATTTAAAGATGCATTCAAAGTGAACCACAAATGAATCAAAACAAAGAACTCAAAATTTAAGTTTTGAAACCTCTGGCCCTTCAGGCTATCTCAGAGACTTTGTTCCCGGAGTCCCCTTTGCCTGGATCATTCTTCCACTTCCTCTGCTCTCCTTTCCTTACTAGGTTAGCTCGTTCCTAGGTTTCAGGCTGAATGTCAGCTTTTCTCAGAAGCCTACCACAGCACTTGTCATACTTAAATGTTCACCTTACCCACTCTGCTTAACCTTCATGAGAATTGGTGTCTTTTTTTTTTTTCAGATTTTACTCCCAGATACACAAATGCCAATTAATAGAATTACTGCTATTCTAATATCCAAAGCCAGAATTCAGTGAGGGATCCAACTTCTATTTTAAAGTTTTGGTGGAATGCCTAGGAAGCTCAGTTGGGTAAGTGTCCAGCTCTTGGTTTTGGTTCAGGTCATGATCTCAGGGTCGTGAGAAAGAGCCCTGTATTGGGCTCCATGCTCAGCAGGGAATCTGCTTGAGATCCTCTCTGTTGCTCTCCCTCTGCCCTTCCCTCCTACATTCATGCTTGTTTGTGTGCGCTCTCTCTCTCTCTCTCAAATAAATAAATCTTCAAAAAATTAAAATTAAATAAATAAAAGTATTGGCAAATAATTTTTGATAGCATATATGGAGCATATTTATTTATATAAAACCATGCTACATATAATGCAAGTGTGAAAAGCAAATATTTTATCCAGAGTTGATATATAAAATACTATAAACATTACCTTAAAAATGGAGAAAAAACCTTTTTCCCATAAATTCAAGAAAAAATCTTGACATGTTTTGGAGCACAAGTGAAAACAACATGGTCACAAAATGTAGTTATAATCTTATTTTGTCACACTAGCTATGTGACCTTTATCTGCGTAGGCTTTAGTTTCCTTCTCTAGAAATGAAAAGCTTGCATGAAATGGACTCAAAGATTCCGTAATCATACCTAACTTTGCTTTGGGCTCTTATTTAACCTCTTTCCTCTTACCAGTTCTCCAGGGCATCTACTTTGTATGCCAGCTTTATTTCTCCAACAAGTATTTATTGAGTGATCACTATGGGTCAGGAAACTTGCTAGGTACTAGAAATACAGACATTTAGGAAAATATGGTCCTTATGACTTAGTGTACAAGACGGACTTTCAACTATCAGAAGTTTTATACATTGTGATGATCTAGAGAAAAACCTCACCTTGCTCTTTGGGTTATAACAGGTGACCTAATTTAGACTGGAGGCATCAAGAAGGCCACAATGAACAGTTGCATTTCAAGGGAGGGATAGAAGGAAGTACATTCCAGGCTTCTAAGAATGCAGCACAGAACATGGAGGAGACAGAGGTGGACAGGTTCAAGGAACTGAAAGGAAAAAATGTGGATGAGGCATGACACGTAAAGGGTGCAAACACAAGTGACAGGGTCTTCCCTAGACTACTGGGGATGTTGGATTTTACTGTAAGTGCAGGGAGCTTATTGGGTAGGGACACTGACCCTGAAGTTAGAATCCCACTCTACCATTCACTAACTGTGTGATTGGGAAGTTTCTCCACTTCCCAGATCAGATAAATCTATGTAAATAAAGCACTAAGAACAGTGGCCACTGCATGGCACTATGCAGTGTCTGTGGTTATTATTTGCATCATCCTTTCTAGCTTCAGGACACTAAACAGCTGAGAGGAAGGGACACCTCACTCAAAACACTAGGATGGAGTTCAGGGCACATCTCTTCCCTTACAGACTGGTTCTACAATAAAATGAGGGAATCTTAAAGGGAATGGTGATAATTGAATTATAATACTAAAACAAAAAGGTAATTCAGTGAATAGAAAGGTGTTCTTGAATCTTTGATTTTTTAAAAAAGATTTTAGTTATTTATTTCAGAACGAGAGGGAGCATATGTCCGGGGGGAGGGAGAGAGAGAGGGAGAGTATCTCAAGCAGGGCTCGATCTCACAACCCTGAGATTGTGACCATGATTTTTGAGATTAAATGGATATTGTGATACTGGAAAAATACTAAAGAATTTTTGCTTTGAAGGTGTCATCATTTAATCAAGAAGATGAAAATGGATTTCATCTAAGTTTTCTTTAAAATACATACACAGGGTGCCTAGGTGGTTGGGCAACTGCCTTCAGCTCAGGTCATGATCCTGGAGTCCCAGGATCGAGTCCCGCATCGGGCTCCCTGCTTGGTGGGAAGACTGCTTCTCCATCTGACCTGCTGTCTTCTCATGCTCTCTCTCGCTCTCATCCTCTCTCTCAAATAAATAAATAAATAAAATCTTAACAAAAATAAAATGCAGATGCATTGGGCATACCATCATTTCTAGCTCCCTTTCCCCAATGGGGAATTTTCTAGAACCTCTATAATCACCTAATTTTACTGTTTTTCTTTGCAATGTAGAAATCTCAGCAAATAAACTTCTCATGCATGTTGACTGTGAGTAAGTAACTAAGATCTGCAAACAAAAAACAAAGCTTTGGTTAAAAATCAACTGTTTCAATGGAGGATGTCTCATGATGTACTTTTGTCCACTGTTCTTTGCTTCAATTCTTAATTTGGTAAGGATTTCTTGGAGTTTTAATATGTCTTTTCTTTTTGTCAAATGAAAACTCGTACTTAATGTTCTTAAATGTGCCGTTTTCATATAATACTTAATTATCTCATTTCACAATTCCAGTACAAGGCACTGAGGACACAAAAAAGTAATAAGACCTAAGTTATCCCCTTAAAAAGAGGATGGTAAGCGATGGACGAACAAATACAGTGGAGGAGGAACTAGGAAGAAAGAAGATGAAAGGCTGGCAAGCACAGATGAGGACAGAATATCAGTGGATGAAAGGGAAATAAGAGTAGTAAAGGCTAGACACTACTTTATAAAGTTAATTTGTATCTTTAAGTTCACTAATGTTCCCTAGGGATGCAGTTTATCGATAGATGATTTGATGGGATAGTTCATCACTAGACTAAGATAGCAGTACTTCATTAAAATTAAAATGATAACAGTTTATAAATTTAAGTCATTCATTCCTTTATCCACAGTCTGTTCCCAGTTTCTCCTAGGACATTGAAATGGGATCTAATTTGCTAAAGGGCTGTTTTAGCAAGGATACAAACTGGCTTCTCTAAAAGTCTTCTATATTTTCTTTCTCCCTATAAACATTTACTCAATGGCTTTTTGAAATGATGAGTCCTTTTCAAGCTTCTCTCTTTCTGTTTCTGTATTTTTCCTATGAGAGAAATAAGCTTTTCTCTGATTCTGGATTGATCCTACAAAACCTCAGTCCCATTAATAGTTGTCCCTCTGCCATCAAACATGGCAATATAATGATAAACCTGGTGATGCATTATGTTACAGAAAACAAAATGAGAAATGTGAGAAATTGGAGATCAAAGACCAAAAAAAAAAAATTTAGTTAAAAATTAGGCGGCTGCATTACTTTCAAGTGATTTAACAGTTAATATGGGAACATAAGTCCTCTTTTTAAGATGTTTATAATCTTGAATTAATACAAGTATAATTTCTTCATCAAACCATGGAGAAGCTAATGAGATAAAATCTTCAAGGGAAATTAAGAATAAACATTTTGGGGACTTGTATTAGACACAAAGAAGAGTAAATTTATTTTCTTTTACAACACACATGTAATAATATGTAGGTGAAATACAACAGACAGAAAAGGTACATGCAATATGCATTGTTTACTCCAGTCTTTTTCCCATAATAATAATATGGGAAATATTAAACATAATCCATGACCTATCCGACAGGGTTTATGGATTATGTTTCCAAACAGAATCATCTTAACTCCTTGGGGAAGGTGTGCCAAGGGAGAGCTTTAGTCAATGCTTTATAATGAATCATACTATCATTTTTCTCTCTCTCAGTAATTCCTCCATTCTTTGGCTATTTGACGACTTCTCCTGACCTACTACCAAGTGATCAGAACGTTAAAGTGGAGCCCTAATATAATGTATGCAAAGGGGGAAAAGTTTTAGAACCTTCCAGCTCCTTGAACATGTACAAGTTCACAGATATTTTGAAGCCCCAGAATTGCATCCATGTGCTAGCTGATTAAAGGGAGGGTGTGTGCTTTAAGTATAGATCTCAGTGTCACCCGTGAATATGAGTGTGATCCCCAGTCCAGGCTCCCCCAACAGCTATTGCTATAATGCAAGTCTCCTAAGCCTTGGTAGAACAACGTGAGAGAGCACACTTCCCCCTGGTTTTAGCAGCAGTTTAATTATGCACCCTTTTTTCTTTCTTTCCATCACATAAGCTTTTAACACTTACCCCAATAGCTGCTAAGATTGGGGCTTGGTAAATCCACTTGATGTTTCCAGAACTAAGTTCCCAGCATCTGAGACATGAAAAAGAACTTTCATGAATAAAGTGGCAAAGCAAATAGGCAGTGAGAATTATGTAGCATTTAAGTTTTACTGAACATTCTAGTCCCAAGCTTTTGATTAAAAAATAAGTAGACAAAAAGAAATCTCATAAAACACCCAAACCAGTAAAAAATGTGTACTAAATGTGTTACTAAAACCAGTAAAAAAAATGTGTAATAGGACCTAGTTTCTATACTATTAGCGATAGAAGATTATAAATATTATTTTCAGAGCCACAAAAAATTATCGTGTTTTAAATATGGTGCACAGGAGTACCTGAAAGATGGCAGAGGATCAGGGGACCCTAGTTCAACTGGTCCCCTGAATTGATCTGGATATCTATCAAACCATTCTGAACACCCACTAAATCAGTCTGTGATGTAAGAAGATATATCTGAATCTCTACAAACAATATCTCAGGGAGTTGTTCTCGAGGTATGAAGCAGGGAGCCGTGATTCAGTGGGCAGTTATTGGAAGATAAATGGAAGGGGGAGGGAGCATCTGGAATCCTGTACCTCTGGAGCACAAAAGCCTCCCTCTCTGGGGACCAGGCACAGACTCGCAGACTGGTAGTAGCAGGGAAAGGACTTTAGGGCAGCCCCCCAGACTGAAACCTGGAGGTGCCGGGGGGCGGCAGTGCTGGGGAGGGGCACGTGGGAACTGGAGGCAACTGGCGGTTTTAGAAGCACAAAAGGCAGAGATGTGCCTGGACCTGGAAGCAAGGGCTGGGGGTGCTGCTGTGCGGTGTACAACCCAGGATGCGGGTTTTGGCAGCACAGACAGAAGTGGCGAAGGTGTGGCCTGGAGTGCTCACCAAACAGACAGATTTCTCTGTTGAGACAGAGGTTTGGATACAGTCACTTCTGCTCTGACTCTTGGCGGGGATGCAGAAAGCCGCCAGAGAAAGTTGCCAGCGAACAAAATCCCCCCAAAAGCAGTTTTCACTGAGCCCATTCCCCCACAAAGAGGGCAGGGCAACTCCACCCAAATAGGGTTGCCTGAGTAGCAGCATGGCAGTTCCCTCCCCCAGAAGACAGGCTCAAAGAACAAGAGGCTGACAACCCTACGGTCCCTATGAAACAGATGCATCCTGCTTAGGTTGTGGTCAATAATTTGGACTCTGTACATTCCCTCAATGACCCCTCAACAGAATGACTAAGAGTAGGAACTCCCAACATAGGAAAAACTCAGAGACTGTGATCTCTGCCACAGAACTAATGGATATGGATTTAAGCAAGATGTCAGAAATAGACTTCAGGGTAACAGTTATGCAGATAATAGCTAGGATGGAGAAAACAATTAATGACAACATATAATCTCTAAGGGCAGAAATGAGAGCTGATCTGGCAGGACTCAAAAATGATATCAATGAGACCCAATATAATCTAGACATTCTAACAGCTAGGGCAAGCTAGGCAGAAGAACAACTTAGTGATCTAGAAGACAAACTGATAGAAAAGAAGGAACAGGAGGAGGCCTGGAACAAATAGCTTAAAATCCATGAATTAGAGAAATAAATGATGCCATGAAATATTCCAATGTCAGAATTATTGGGATCCCTGAAAGGCTGTCAAGAGAGGACTAGAAGTTATATTTGAGCACATTGTAGCCAAGAACATCCCTAATCTGGGGCATGAAACAAGAATTTGTGTCCTAGAGGCAGAGAGGACTTCTCCCAAGATCAAGGAGAAGAGACCAATGCCCCAGTATGTAACAGTAAAACGTGCAAATCTTAGAACCAAGGAAACCACCTCAAGGGCAGTTAGAAGGAATATATTCATTACATACAGAGGGAGGAATATGAGAATAATGTCAGACCTGTCCACAGAGACCTGGCAAGCTAAAAAGGGCTGGCAAGACATAGGGTAGTAAATGAGAAGGACATGCAGCCAAGAATTCTTTATCCAGCAAGGCTGTCATTAAGAATGGATGGAGAGATAAGGAGCTTCCAGGACTGACAGAAACTGAATGAATATGTGACCACTAAGCTGGCCCTGCAAGAAATATTAAGGGGGGGGGGTCTATAAGAGGAGAAATACCCCAATAATGATATAGAACTGAAATATACAGAGACAATCCATAGAAACAAGGACTTCATGGGCAACATGATGACAATAAAATTATATCTGTCAGTAATCACTCTCAATGTGAACAGCCTAAGTGCTCCCATAAAATGGCACAGGATTGCAGATTGGATAAAAAGACAGGACCCATCCTTATGCTGTCTACAAGAGACTCATTTTGAACCTAAAGATACATCCAGACTGAAAGCGAAAGGATGGAGAGCCATGTCTCATGCCAATGGACCTCAAAAGAAAGCTGGGGTAGCAATTCTCATATCAGACAAATTAGAATTTAAACCAAAAACTGTAGTTAGAGATACAGAAGGACACTATATCATTAAAGGGTCTATCCAACAAGAAAATCTAACAATTGTAAATATCTATGCCCCCAACGTGGGAGCAGCCAACTACATAAGCCAACTGTTAACCAAAAAAAAGAGACATATTGATAATAATACATTAATAGGAGACCTGAACACTCCAATTTCAGCAATAGACAGATGATCTAAGCAGAAAATCAACAAAGAAACGTGAGCTTTGAAGGACATGCTGGACCAGATGGACCTCAGAGATATATACAGAACATTCCACCCTAAAGCAACAGAATACACATTCTTCTCAAGCGTACATGTAACTTTCTCCAGGACAGACCACATACTAGATCACAAATCAGGTCTCAACTGATACCAAAAGATTGAGACTGAGACTATTCCCTGCATATTCTCAGCCCATAATGCCTTGAAACTGGAATTCAATCTTAAGAAAAAGTTTGAAAGAAATTCAAACACTTGGAAGCTACAGACCATCCTGCTCAAGAATGTTTGGGTCAACCAGGAAGTCAAAGAAGAACTTAAACAATTCCTGGAAACCAGTGAGAATGAAAACACATCGGTCCAAGACCTATAGGATATGGCAAAGGCAGTCCTAAGGAAATACATAGCCATCCAAGCCTCCCTCAAAAAAATAGAAAAAAATAGAAAAATCCTGAATACACAAACTATCAACAACAAATTAAGCCTAACCCATGCATAAGAAAGAAAATAATTAAGATTAGAGCAGAGATCAATGAATTAGAAATCAGAAATACAGTAGAACAGATCAATGAAACTAGAAGCTGATCCTTTGGAAGAATTAATAAGATTGATAAACCACTGGCCAGACTTAAAAAAGAAAGGACCCAAATTAGTAAAATTATGAATGAAAGGGGAGAGATCATGACTAATACCAAGGAAATAGAAACAAACATTAAAAATTATTACCAATAGCTACACGGCAATAAATTAAGCAACCTGGAGGAAATGAATGCATTCCTGGAAAGCTATAAACTACCAAGACTGAAATAGGAAAAAACTGACAACCTGAATAGACCAATAACCAGTAATGAGATTGAAGCAATGATCAAAACCTCCCAAAATACAAGACTCTACAACCTGATGGAGTCCCTGGGGAATTCTACCAAGCAATCAAAGTAGAAATAACTCCTATTATCCTGAAGTTGTTTCAAAAAATAGAAACAGGTGGAAAACTTCCAGACTTATTCCATGGGGTCAGCATTACCTTGATCCCCAAACCAGGCAAAGACCCCCTCAAAAAGAAGAATTTCAGACCAATATCCCTGATGAATATGGATGCCAAAATTCTCAACAAGATCCTAGCTAATAGGAACCAATAGTACATTAAAAGGATTATCCACCACAACCAGGTAGGATTTATCCTTGTGATGCAAGGGTGGTTCATCATTCACAAATCAATCAATGTGATGGAACATATTAATAACAGAAGAGAGAAGAACCACATGGTTCTCTCAGCTGATGCAGAAAAGGCATTTGACAAAATACAACATCCATTCCTGATTAAAACTCTTCAAAGTATAGGGATAGAGGGAACATTCCTCAACCTCATAAAATCTATCAATGAAAAACCCACAGCAAATATCATTCTCAATGGGGAGAAATAGACAGCCTTTCCATTGAGATGAGGAGCACAACAGGGATGCCCACTCTCTCCACTATTGTTCAACATAGTACTAGAAGTCCTAGCAACAGCAATCCGAAAACAAAAGGAAATAAGAGGCATTCAAATTGACAAAGAAGAAGTCAAACTCTCTCTCTTCGCAGATGACATGACGCTTAATGTGGGAAACCCAAAAGACTCCACCCCAAAAGTACTAAAACTCATACAGCAATTCAGTAATGTGGCAGGATACAAAACCAATGCACAGAAATCAGATGCTTTTCTATACACTAACAATATAACTGTAGAAAGAGAAATTAAAGAATCAATTCCATTTACAATAGCACCAAAAACCACAAGATACCTTGGAATAAACCTAACAAAAAAAGGTAAAGGATCTATACTCTAGAAACTACAGAACACTCACAAAAGAAATCAAAGAAGACACAAAAAGATGGAAAACCACTCCGTGCTCATGGATTGGAAGAAAAAATAATGTTAAAATGTCTATCCTGCCCAGAACAATCTACATTTTCAATGCCATCTCAATCAAAATACCAATATCATTTTTTCAAAGAGCTGGAACAAACAATCCTAAAATTTGTATGGAACTAGAAAAGACCCCAAATGGCCAAGAAAAAGAAAAACAAAGCTGGGGGCATTACATTGTCTGACTTCAAGCTATATTACAAAGCTATGATCACCAAGACAGCATGGTACTGGCATAAAAACAGACACATAGACCAATGGAACAGAATGGAGAGCCCAGATATGGGCCCTCAACTCTATGGTCAAATAATCTCCAAAAAAGCAGGAAAAAATATACAATGGAAAAAAGACAGTCTCTTCAGTAAATGGTGCTGGGAAAATTAGACAGCCATATACAGAAGAATGAACCTGGACCATTCTTTTACACCATACACAAAGATAAACTCAAAATGGATGAAAGACCTCA